CCTGATACCAGAAAGATGAAGATTCTCTATGTAAGTATGTTAATTATTAAATCCTGTGAGTGACTATCTGGGATTATGGAGAGCTATTTATAGCACAAAATGCACGTGTGTGTTTCTAGTGATTATAATGATGTTTATAAACTAAACTACACCAGGACAGTCATTTTATGTACATTTCCACTGAGATAAGTGGCAAAAAATTGGTTTTGGAAATCCCTAAACAAAAAATATACATAGACTAAATTAATATTTAATGTAATTTGACAAGAAAAAAGTGAACTTTCAACAATTCCTTAACCTTTCTTGATAATCTTATGAAGACTTTTTTTTAAAAAAATTTGCAACACTCTTCGATTTTTACTTTTATGATAACAGCCCAATTCTCTTTTTTGTTGGGAATGCTGAGAATTTTTCAGCACCCTCTTGTATTAAAAATGAATATTTTAGCACCTGTTTAATAAATCTTACATGTGATGTCAAAAATTACAAAAAAAGCTAGTGCTTTAGTAGTAATTTCAATTAGTGAATGTTTTTCTCCAAATTTTGTGTGTGATTTAAAGCTACAAAACAAAAAACAAAAGGGGTCATTTTCAAAGCAAAAACAGATTTAAAGAAAAAAAAAAAAAAAAAAAGTTGATATTTAATATAAATAAGTTTTAGGTTGAAATGAAAATCCCTTTCAGGTTCTTAATTTCAAGAGAAGCTGTTTAAAGGAATTCAAAATATCAAATACAATCATATATACCTTGTTGCTATTGTATAAATAAGAGTGAACCAACATTAATAAATATTATTCTGTCACACTTGCCTTCATTTCTGACCATCAAAATTCTTTTCTTTCTGATTTTAAATGCAGACAATACAAGTTGAGTATTCAAGTCAAAAATTATAAAGTTCAGTGATCGTACATTTAAGTACTAATATTACTATGGCAGTTTTTATTCATTTATTGCCATTCTTGTATCAAAACCAAGACTCACTAAAAGTGGTTGTAGCAAAGATGAAAATAGTGGCTTACCTTACCAAATGAAATGCCCATTTTGCATGGAATATCTGCTAAACGGGCAAACCCAGAAACTTTCTAGCTTATTCAAAGAGCCTGGAAGCTTATGCAAATTTTGTTGGACCAATTATAAGTGTCTCAAAACTACAAGCTTTCATTTTTTTTTTTAAGCAAGTTGGGAACTGAGTTTGAGAATCATTTGATGTATGTGGATTTCAGATGTACAAATTTTAACTATCTGCTGGTCACAATGATGTATTACAAATTCTTCTGTGTTTGTGAGCAAGACATGTCCTTTCTAGTATGTAGAAGTATATCAAGTTAATATTTAAGTTCTTTAGAAAACTAAAATTCTCTGTTGGACAATCATTTGTCATTTATGAGATTTGTAACCTATAATTGCTCGAACTAGGATGAAGGAAGTGGAGGTAGTTTCCTTTGTATTTGGCCAAAATGTAAACTTTCTATTAACTATTCTTACATATTTATCATGTACACTATTATCTACCTAATTGTAAGTTTCTTTGAAGGTGTGAATCAATGTACGAGTAGCTTACAGATGAACAAGAAATAATAATAATAATACCACCATCAGGTGATTAGTAACTCTGTAATTGATGTGTGAGGTAGTAGTTAACATGTTAATATAACAGATTATTACTATTTTAGTTAGATCCTTACTCAGTAGCTAACATTTGTCACCTTGTGTCAGACTAAGCTTAAAACAACTATTGCATAATGAATTGTACTGAGATGTCTTAAGTATTGAAATAAATCAGTAATAGTATCGTTAAAATGATATTTTCAATAAGCAATTCTCATATTTTAATACATTTAGTAGTTTGTGAAATTATATTAAAATTAATCTTAGTTTGAAATTATTTAAAAAATAAAAAAAATAATTAACTTCAGATTAAAGTCATAAGGATTAAATAATCAACTTTTTAATTTCTATTCTATAAGACAGAAATTAAAAATTTAATCATGGCACCTTGTGGGAGTAACAATTAACAAGCTAGTCTCATTGACCATTGCTACAGTAGGGAGTTTGATTCTTACTGTATACTCCTTACTTGTAAACATGTGTCACAACTAATCCATAATTAGTCTACAACAGGATGCCTCATCATGAGACAATGGTTAGAAAGCAGATCTCATTGTTGCTATGGAAGCCTCACTAGGTGGCATATTGTTATAAACACTTATGGATGCAAGAGAGAAGAAATGAAACAACAAAGTACTACAGATGAGGTGGAAAGAAGACAAGAATTGTTAAAATAAAATTCTTTGTATTGTGAATATAGAGGATCAAGGTGGAAAGTTTCATTGTGGTTGAGAGAAGTGACTTGGAGGATGGGGATAATTGGTTGGACTTGGTGTTGACATTTGTGTGAGGTCAGTGACAGCATACCTGCCCAACTACAGACTGTCTTCATTGTTGTGTTCAGCATCCTTAATAGTAAATGGGTGGATCATAACAGGGTTTGCTTGTTTTTTTTATTGAGCTTTTGCTTTAGCAGCAATGTTCATGATTGGCTCCTTTTAAAATGTATTTTATATCTGGCAGATGAGCTGGATGTGATGCTCAGAGCTTCTGTGTAGAGAGCAACTTTTTTATTTTTGCTTTGTGTTCATATCTAGAGGACAGGTTTTGATGTAGAGTGAATAAGACATCTAATTATAAGCATAGTATAACAATATACTTGTGACTGTGCTGAAATTAAAAGGGTGCTTTGTAATAGGATAATGGTTAATAAACTGATACTGTTAAAATGCCCCAAAAGTCATTACAACTTGGTGAATCAGATCCTCCTTGCATATCCATATGTATGGCCTTGTGCTAAAACTGAACTATGCTTAGGAGAAAACTATATTCAACATTCACAGTATAAATATATGATGGAAATTATGATATCTGTTTACTTCCTGTGTCTGCTTTTAATTTTCACCTTGCCATTATTTTAGAATAATTTTTTTTTTTTTTATGTAAAGGATATTATGGGGAAATAACCTTTGGGGTCAGTTGGCAAAGAAATTTTTTTTCATGGCCAAAAACAAAAATGATTAAACCCAGTAAATTCAATAAAACATTCTGTCTTAGATCCGATGTTATAGAAATAATACTTTGAAGCATGATTAACCAATGAAAATCAAACATAAAAGTAAAAATACCAGAATTTCTTTCTTTTTCTCTATATTTCATTCTCTGATGAAGCTTTAATAAAAGTGAAGCATGTTAGATATTTGAGAAATTTTATTAAACAAAAAAACTCAAGCCGATAAAAAAAAAAAAAAAAAAAAAAAAAAAACAGCTTGTCAACTAAAATGTGTGTTTCTAATAAAAATAAAGTTCAAATTGATATAAATTTGTTAGACAAATAAATAAAAAATTCATTACTTCTTCAGAAATTGCTTTATTTACATTTGGATGCAAAACTGAGCAGATATGAAATTTCGAGAGTCTACGAGGAGAAGGATTTTGCTTAAAGGCACTTGCTTGTTCAGCAAAAGTTCTTCATGGCTGAGTCAGTTAAAGCATGTCAGATCTAACAATGGTTCTCTCTACCCAGGAGATACAGATTTTAATCCTACTGGAGACTACTTATTTTTCTTTAATAAGATTTCTCAAATATACAGTCAGGGAGACAAAAATAAATAAATATAATGTTTAATAAATAAACAAAATGGAATAGTCCATTATTTATGGAGGTATTGGCAGGGCATAACGGTTGTGATAACTAAGAGAGGGACAAGTAGAATTATAATAAGATAATGATATAACCATGACATTCTACACGTACACATGTGTATGTGTAGAATGGGTGTGCCTGTGCATACATACACACAATGAAGAAAAAAAAACAAAAAAAAACGAACAAACAAAAAACCTTGCACCAATGAAAAGTACAAATGAGAAATATAAACAGTCAATTACTGATACCCCTTGACGAGTGGACGTAATTATTTCTGGGGGATGTGTCTACAAAACTCTGGAGCCAGAATACTGAAGATAACATCAATCTGCTAAGACATATATACAATGATATATATACAATATATATATATATATATATATATATATATATATATATAATGTATATGTATGCGTCTTGAGTTGGCACAGAAAGAGTATAAGCAATGTTATGGTTGGATTGGTAGGAGAATCCATTGGGAAATGCCATAAATATGGCCTTACTGTAAAAGAGAAATGGTATGTACTTCTAGTTGTAGAAGATCCGAGTCACAAGATATTACGAGATTTCTCTATCCAGATGAATAATGTCATTGAAGTGCAAAGATCCAACCTTATTGTTATAGTTAAGGAAAGTAGCAAGTGTCAAACCATTGACTTTGCTGTCCCATATGATACACATGTGAACTCCAAAGAAACTGAAAAGATTGAAAAATACCAGGATATAGGAATTGAAAAAGCCATTCCTGTAGAAATATTTGTGTGTGGAACACCATGTAAAAAAAAAAAAAAAAAAAAAAAAAAACAGGACTGAAAGAGCACTTAGAGGAAAACTGGAATTGAAAGCAAGATTGTAAGCCTCCAGAAAACTATCTTATACTCTGCAATGATTCTCCAAAGAATTCTGAGGTTGGGAGGAGTTTCAATTCAACACACTACCTTAAAGAAAAGAATTTCCATCAACTATATCCATGTAATGTTCCTTGATGTTGCATTTAAATTTTTAAAGGTTATATGTGGCAGGGAAACCAGAAAACAAAAGAGAGTTCCCCAGACAAGAAATAAAAACAATTTGAATAACATACATTCACATCCAGCCAGTTCAACCGTAAAAAATGTTGAAACCTAGTCGTCAGTCTAGTCGTATACTCAAATTCATGGAGCCAAGGCACCAAAGACGAAAGCTCATTAGAACAATTGCAGTCAGGATTAGTTATATTACAGACCCTTCTTTTGGTTTTGTCAAGAAACTAAAGATATATAGTAGGAGCACCAGACCAGATATGGAAGCAATATTCAATGCACAGCCATATCACATTGAGACTTCAGTTCCTGTACAATCACTGAAGTTAAGCAACACTGAGCCTGGTCAGTACCTAGATAAGTGACTGCTTGGGAATATCAGGTGTTGTAAACCGAGATGTGTGGGTGGTGTAATGGATAATGGCTCAGAATAGCTAATCAGAGAGCAGAGTTCCAATTCCTGTTGAATTCCTTATATTCACTTACACACAAATACCATCGGGAAAAGGTATGAATCCACTTCTTACTTCTATGGGTTAATTAGTAAAACTTATCACTCAACCATTATTATCTCCCCAAAATAATCTTATACTCTCAAAAAATATTTTCTGGCTTTAAATAACCAAGCATTGCACAGGCGAATGGTAGATTTATAAATGTGCAAGATGGATTCTGATGAGAAAATTGTCTGGTACAACACAATAAACCAAACATAATTATCAATCTTCCCTCATTTTGCTGTAATATTACATTTGTAATCATTAGAGTAAAAAAAAAATGTTAGCCTTTGTCTAATAAATTTTATATTGAGCTACCATGGGTGCACAAACAGCTTTAAGTACATGACAAAGATAACATCCATTTTGACAAACATGGTTATTTCAGGAGTTGTTTAAAATTGCCACTGTCTTTTTTTTTTTTTTGTTAACCTGGAAGATTCAAGAAACAAGCCAGCCATATCTAAAAATAAGAAAGAGAAATCCCACAAAAAGCTACATTACTGAAAAGCGACCATAAAAAATATGGACTAACCATTAAAGAGAACAAAGAGGTTGATTTATTTTACAGCTTAACCTTTTGCAATTAGAAAAATATTTTTTAGATTGTAACAATATTTTGGAAATAATGACTTACTGATACAAATCCTACTATTTAAGCCAGAGCTGGGAGGAGAAAAGATGAATTCATACCTTTCACAAGGGCATTTGCCTATAAGTGAACATGACTGGAGTTGGAACTTCCAGTTGTCAGCCATTATCTATTAAACCACCTTGACTTGCTCATCCAAACTTACAGAACCTGGTATTTCCCAAGCATTCACCAATCTAGGTTCTGATGAAACTCAACATTGCTTAACTTTGGTGATCAGATAAGAACTTATTTCAACATGGTATGGCCATAAGCCAACAAAGAGGCTGATCTAATCTGGAAATTTACTATTACGTGTTGGACTATACTTACTATAACCTGGGGGTGTTGGAATATAAATATGTGTTATCATATGTAACCACGTATTTCTGAGAAGCTTGAAGTGATATCATATATGCAAATTTAAGTATAAAGTGCTCCGTGTGTGTGTGTGTGTGTGTGTGTGTGTGTGTGTGTAAAACCTCTCTCAGTTAATCTGAAAGACTGCCTTCCAACAGCATGGCTGATGCTATCCTCCAAAAAAGTGACTCATTGTGCCTTTTTGGGCTAACAAGAGGTGGAAAGACTACATTGAATCTAACAATGGATTCAATGTAGCTGCTAAGAAAGTTGGTTCACTGTGTCGAGCAAGACAATTTTTCTTTCCGGAATCTATCTTGCATATCTGTTAGTCTACCATTCGTTCATTCTTAGAATATTGCTGCCATATGTGGTCCAGTGCCCCTGCTATTTACCTGTAGCTTCTTGACAAGATCCAAAGAAGAATCAGCAATATTATTGGTCCAGATCTGGCTAAAGTCACTTGCCCACTGCTGTAAGGTTAGCTCTGTGCCTTTTTTATAAATACTTTCATGGCAATTGTTCAGATGAGCTCTTCGCTATGGTACTTAGTATGATCTTAAGCGTAATACTAGATTGGCAGCAAGATCTCATCAATTTACAGTTGAGCAGGCTAGATGTGGCTGTAACTTCTATGCTAACAGTTTCTTATCTCGCACTTCTTGCTTGTAGAACTCCCTCCTAGTGCCATACTTTCCAGCCAACTTTAATCTGCAAAAATATAAATGCAATATCAATCACTATCTACTGTCCTCCTGATTGCTCTTTTCTCTTTCTCCTCAATACTAATGTTCCTGTCCCTAATAAATCTACATCCTGTAAGCCCTTTCATGTTAGTGGCTGTACTGCCTTGCTTGGGGTGATACCAATTAAAAAAAAATATATATATATATATAACTGGACTATTATTTTTTACACATGAGGATACAGCAACTCAGTTTTTAAAAACAGACTACCTGCACATGATTTGATTACATTAGTGAAAGCTTGTGCAGACCCAACCACACTTTTGATAAATGGATAGAGACAATACTTTTTTTGAAGAAAAAAAAAAAAAAAAAAAACCACCCAGAACATCCTTATTGCAACCACCCCTTTTATTAAATATTCAGGAAATTTCTTCATCCCTGCCCACATTCTAGGGCAGTGTTTCATTATTGAAATTTTTTTTTTTTTTTAAATTAATAAAAAATCTCCAACCACCCTATTTGAAACTGAAATATATTTGGAATTTTCATGGCCACAGCTGTTAGTATTCAATGACTCTTGGAAACTGCTATTTTTGTCATTCCTGTACCCCACTTCCACACAAAAGTTTTTTGTGGAATGTCAATGACAATAGACTATAGATTAAACTATAAAGAGAATAAAATCAAGACTTTGCACAAAACACATTTGCCAAAAGTAGAACAGAAAATGAACTTTTGATAAAACATTGTGGAAAAAACAAAACAGATGCACAAATAGTTTGGCTTTTGAGGAGAATAGACAAAAAACTTACTGATAATTTCTTCTTGAATTTTGGAGTTATTATTTACTATTGTCATCATCTTATTTCCAGCTGTTGCGCTCTTCAGGTTTCATCAAGTGATTGTCAGGGAATTTCAAACTGAACCATTTGTTAAATTTACAGGGGTAGATTGTTTTTTTTTTTCTCTCCACTGACCAGATCTAGTTCTTATTTTTAGCACCGAGTATAAGTCTACACTATCCAGCCTAGGGATTGAACTCACATTTACTAGGTCACCAAATTCACAAATCAACACTTTAATCTACTAGGGTACTGTCTCATGGGACAATCCTGAGTGGAGAAATAGGAATCTTAAACATAATCTGCCTGCTGTTGAGACTGCTTCTGCTTGTCATGTTTAACTGTATTTACTGAGCTAAATTCCGAATTTCATAAGAAAGAAAAAAAAAATGTAAACAATTTTCCTCCACTTGCCATCTCTCTTAATATCAATGATAAATATATCTTCATAAAATTGTTTTATATAAATTTAATAACTTCATAAAATTAAAGTCATATTTAAATTAATAACAAATTTTAAATTTTGGCTGTGCAAATGGTGTAATGGAAAACAGCTCAGAATGAGAAATTGGTGAGCCAAGTTTGAAATCCAGTTGGGTTAATTACATTCACTTACACACAAATACCCTTGGGAAAGGTATGAATTGATCTTTCCTCCCTCCAGCTATGGGTTAAATAGCAGTACAATCTGGGATCTCAAGCTGTGGTTGGTAATCAGTCTAGGAGAAGGAAAAAAAATCAATATCGTATATGGCTCTGGGTCTAAATCACAGATTGCCCTTTGGCAAGTCATAGCCAGGGGGTTATGGCAAAGACATTGGCAGTAGAACATTGAATGTGGTCAATGGCAGAATCTAAGAGTGAGAAGGAAAGTCCAGGAACCCAGTGGTTCCTTATGTTCTAATATATGCACAACTGAAACCCCCAGGGATAATATGGGAGAGCGGAGGTATCATCACGATCTGCTGAATTAACTATCACACAAATGCCTTTGGGGACAGCATGAATCCATCTCTTCCCAACTATAGGTTAAATAACAGGATAGACTGTACTCTCTAGCCTTGGATGGTAACTGGTCTAAGAGAAGGAAAACTTCATCTTTCCCAAGAATGCATAGAAATTCACAGATATGGAATATCAACAGCAGTCTCAAATAATAGAGTCAAGCAGACATTAGTGGCTTTTAGCCACCTGAATGATTTTCAGCTCAGTTATGGACTGTATTAATGATATACTTAAGAGGAAGATTAAAATGAAATTTTCACATTTTTAATTAAAAGCAACCCTGGTATGCAGTAAAGTGCCAAAATTCATGAAAATAGATTAAATTTGGCATTTAGCCCATTCTTCATAGAGGATTTTCAATGAAAAATAAATACATTTGGCATCACCAAAGCATAGCAGAGGTCTAGATCATGATTTGCTGATAAATAAAAGTTATGTTGAAAACTTGGTAACTATGGCATCAAAAGTAGGTAATGACCATAACATATTAAAGGAACCAAGTACATTTGAAATATCTTCCAGAGAATAATCTTAAATTTTGCAGATTTAAATTATCTCTGGATTTTTTTTTGTTAGTGTTACTTGAAGTTGGGGTTTCTTAGAGACAAAAAACAAAAAATAGTGCTAATTTGACTGAATTTTGTGCTGCAGGGCCCCAAATTTCAATTCATATAGTTCATTTTTTTTAAAGTATCAAGTGGAGCCTGTCTGTCACTTATAACATTCATATCAACAAGATTCCAATGACTTTCCTAACAAAGAGGTAGAAAAGGTAACTCTCTAGCATTGATTACCTAAATGTAAATGATTAAACATGCATTTTAATTAACAAAATACTGATAAGTCTCATTTATAGTAATTAAAGAAACTAGTTTATTTAAATATTTTCCTAATTACTTCTTTTCCTGCCCACTAGCAGCAGTTATGATTATTCCTTAATACTGTTCTTGCCTTAAATCATGTCTTACGACTTTCCTTTCATGTTATTATCAATGAATCTTCAGAATAATTCAGGGCCAGAATCACAATAGGTTTTGGAATACAGTCCCGATTTGTACTGCTCACCTCAATAAATGAGCAAAGATAACAATTTGTTCCATTCATTTTTAAAATAAAGTCATTTTATCCACCTTATACTAATGCTAATATCCTGCAGATAATAGTCAGTAATTATTAAATAACTAAACAAATTGAATTTTTGCAGGAGTATGACAACTCAACAATAAAACAAACTGAAAGTGATTGGGAAATAAATTCTAACAGTGCTTGGGCATTGTTCTGATGAGCTTTCTTCTTTGGTACCTCGTCTTCATGAATTTAAACATAGTACTAGATTGGCAGCTTGGTGTCATTTTATTGCTGAAAAT